TGGGTCCTGCACACCGAGCTCGTTCTCGAACGCACGCAAAGGCGATGCGGTGTAGTTGGCCCAGTCACCCCAGGCGCTTCCGGTCAGACCATCCTGGCATGCGAAAGAAAAAACACATCACATTAAACAAACTAGCTCCATTACGAGGTTTTCGACATATCCACGGATGCATGTGTTGACCACCCACACAAGCACACTAACACACTAAGACACGATGACACTAGCACAGGCTGATATATCGATGAGTTTGATGTTGATATCACGCCTGGAAGAACATGCCGATGATGGCCATCATCGCAAGCCTTCCGTTGGCCAATTCTGCCGACAGCTTTTTGGTCTTCTCAGCTGGGTCGCTGGAGGTCAAGACCTTGAAGCCGAAGTCGCCCGCTGCGGCTGGGGTGCCGGGAGACTGATCCTGGGAAACCTCGCAGAAGGCCATGTACGCGAGGATCTGTCCCCATCCTGCGGCAGGCACCTTGGAGATCGCAGCCAATCCGTTGGGCACATCTGCGAACTTCAATCCAGCTGATGGAGACAAATACCCAGGGAACTTGCCAGTGATCCTTACCGGGCTGACACGTCAAAATTGAAAAACAACTCCGTACAACTAAAAGCAAGTCTGACAACACGAAACATCTGTTTAAACATCTGCCTAAGCCAACAACATCGCACATGCTATGAATCAACATCTTTTGCAAGAGGAATAGATTATAGGGCTGCCGAACCCAACTCTGCACATGCCATCAGGGAAACGTGTGTTGCAGAACAGACAGACGCACAGACACGCAGACGCACTCCAGGAACTAGGCAAATGAATTTTGATGTCTGGCAATATTGCTTAATGTCTGGCAATTTTCCTTCATGCTTACAGGAACATTTGTTGCTGCCTATGGCAAGAGCTCCAATCTTGAACAGGACGTTGATTGAAAGCCATAATGCACCTATCATCTTCCTGCGCATAGTCAAACTCATCTTCCGTGAGCCGTTGGCAAATAGCCGACACCAACAGTTCTGGATGTTGGTATGCAGTGAAGTCAGGTGCGCAAGGGGCACCCTGGTCAATGGTGAACGGTTTAAGATCCGTGGCTCAGCATGGCCCTGAATGGGTGCCGCTAGCGGGACGAACTAACAATGACGAACAATTCCGAACTTGTGACATAAAAAGGAAACACACACACACACCACTATGATCTAGTCAGTCGGGAACACATGATTCTTAAACCGCGTAGAGGAATATTCGACAAAGCTTGCAAGTCTGATAAGACAAGCAAACACGACGACGATTAAATGATGTGATGGCATGTTAGCACAATCATGCTTCGAGGTGCCTACAGCTCAACAACATCCTTCACGTGACTTGCTTAATCATGTTTGCACGCTGGCAGTCTTAAGCGTTCGAGGGATCAATCGCTGACTCGCGACTCAGGGGTGATGTAACCCATCGTAGCCAACATTGAGATGCGACCGTGTTTGAGCTCCGTTTGGCGACGGCGCTTGAAGTTCTCCACGCTGCCATCGGCGGTGAAGCCTGCGGGATCCCAGAATCCGACGGGGTCCTGCACGCCGAGCTCGTTCTCAAAGGCGCTGACGACCACCTGAAATGCTGCGGCGTGGAAGCGGCGTCGGGAACTCCGACTCGCACCGCAATTCTGACAGAAAAACCTGCAGTGAGTTCACGGAAAAGCGCTTGATTACCTGACCGCCAAGCAATCTGTTATCTTACAAGACCGATGGTATCGAAAGAGGTCTTCACCATCAAACGGCGAGGCCAGCGCGGTTCCTCGTCACCCAAATGACCCCGAAACCTGGAACCCCCTGGTGCCCGTCCACCTGGGACCTTCGGCCGTAGTTGGCCTGGCGTGTCACGTACGCCGAAGTTGAAGCCAGTGAAACAACTGACTGAAGCTTCCTTGCTACGTGCAGGGCCCCTGAAACAAAACCCACGGAATTTGCTGCTGAAAGCATCGACACTGCCTTCGCCTTGCTCATTCTTCAGGGCATGATGTGAATGCATGAAGCCTCATTGCAAGAAACCCCCGAAGATCTCAGCTAAATGCCTTGCTTTGTCTGCCTGTGAAGGAGAGTTGTGTGCTCCAGATGGCTCGGCCCAGCCCTTGTCGCTGCACGCCAAACACTTCCGTCCTTCCTCCCGGCGACCGGCCGGGTTTCTGATTGGACCGCAGCAACTCACAGGCGAAAGGAAGGCATGATGCCGCTGCCCATGGACTTGTACGTTGCAAAAGGAAGTCTGTGGACAATCCGAGATGCGCACGCTGAGCCTCATGGAGGACACGGCCAAGTGCGTTTAAGCGACGGAGGTCATCATTGGGGTTTTCTCGTTCCCTGGGGGCCATACACCTTTCTTAACATCCGATGTGCTGCATTTCTCCCATCTTGTTGCATGCTTGGAAAAGGCACCCGCTTGTCAAAATTTCGTCTCTTTCGGTGATCACTACGACCCGCGAGCCGACGTTTCAACGCGGACAAAGCCCACCTCGCTCCGCTTGCCCCGAAGCTGCGCTGCTAGGAGGGCCTTAGGCTGCGGCTTTCTTCTCTCTCGAAACAGTTGGCTTCGGCTTTCAGGAACAGCTTTGTGTGGATTGCCGGTTCTGCCGTCCGACAGGTGCAGTGCTTGGGACTGCAGGCTTCTGGGTCCAAGCCCTTCAACGGTCGCCTTCTGGCTCCACCCTGTCTCGGATCCAATCGCCCGTACTTCGGCAACATGAAAGGATTGGGTAATAGAAGCAAGCATGATGGGAAAAACTGTGCGCAGCCCAGTGGCTGACGCCGAAGCAGCGGCCGTGCAGCCAATGACGCTTGAGGCGCTGCTACCTTTTTTTGTTCAGAGCTGACACTCACACAAAGTCCTTCGTCTGACCTGTTCTGGAACTGACCAGGGGTCGTAGGATCAGTAGGACCATTCAAAACTTGCGGACACCTTTACGACTCTACGACTTTCCTCAACCATGTCCATTGTAACCGCACAGACGCGCCTGTGGCAGTTGTCTGGGCCGCTATTCGGCCGCGCAGCTGAACGCTGCTTCTCTCGGGGGCAGCCTTCGTTTTTGAGGCATCAAGGCTTTTTATGCCAAATGCAAGCGTCTCGCCACATGCTCATGGCGACACTTGGGCGAACCCCCCGACTTATGAGCAAGAACCGAGAACCTCGCGACACCGAAATCCAAAAACACCTTTCCACCCCAAGTTCGGCACCCCGGAGCCTGACCGGCTGGGCCACTCTGAACGAAGGCCTGAGCTCGGTCATTCCGTCATGGGATTTCGGTTTTGGTTGCTCGGCGCTCCCTTCCAGAACTCGGAGCACGGAAATCGAATCTCCCACCACACGCCACATACTCAGACATGTATGGAAGCATACCCTTTCTACGCTGACATACTCCTTACTATGTGCTACAAGTCAACACACATGTGTCCGCATGCATACCTACATTTCGCAGATAAATGAAGATGTACAAATACATATATGTACTATACAATAAACGATAAATATTGTAAATTAGATATAGGGCATTATATATACATATATATTTATGGTACTATCTGCACCACATATTGCTGCTATATATCCTATGTCATATAATGTAAAGCACACATTACGTGTCATACACTGTATGTGGTCGGCTACATATTACCTAGTAGAGATTATATGTTATTATGTTAAACCATATGTATAGATATATACAATGACTTTCCATGCAATGTATGTCATATGTTGATTATTATAGAATACCTACATACGCCTATAGTCGATTATGTTGAATGTGAATAATCATATAGACAATCAGGTATATTCAACGAGGAGTTAGAAATTGTAAAACGATATATAGCAGATGTTGCAATCAATATATGTTATGTCTTTTGTGATCGCTACTGTATACTGTCGATTAAAATGGCGTCGCCAACAGGATGCGAGCAGCGCCCAAAGCAGTTGTATATCATGAGCTATATACTGAAAACAATTTTTGTTGCATGTTGAATGTTATGTTGTATGATACCTGAATCTTCAATGTGAAGTGTGATATGTAGCAAAAACCATGCCATATATCATATGATAACAATACATGTAGATATTATAACAAGTACTGTGATATAAATGAGATTCTACTGCATATCATTTCATGTTATATGTACACATATACGGATACAAGGATATGTATATATGTAAACATATACCTGAATACATATTATGCACAACTTCTAGCTATATAGTAGATAGAAAGTACCCATATAGTACACGTAAGACACACTATTTCTGCATAAATGCATGCATACATACATATGATTATATACATAAAAAAGCATATGGGGGTTGATCGATATTATTGCTCCTAACAGCCCTTGCGCCCGCCCTTGCGCACTCGCGCGTGCTTCGTGCGGCGCACGCACGAAGTTTTATACTCGCAGCTTGCACGATCATGAGCTTCAGTATCTTGAACACTACAACATGACCCATCGGGCATCGCAGGCGGTTTGGCTTCGGACTGGAGGCTTAGGAAAGGAAGGTTCCAAGATTTAAAATGCAACATGGGGAAAGCTCTGTCACATAGTGGTATATTCCCATAAACTGCCCTTGCGCACTCTTGCACCTGCCCTTGCGGTTTCTTGTGCGCACACCATGTATTGAAGGCAACTTCAATAGGGACAACATGAATACATCGCCTCTGTAGAGCAAAGTCAAATGAAGGGGGTTCGGATCAACCCTCATATTCGTAAATACATATACATGTATACATATACGCGCATACAGGTAAAGACACATATGCGTATATGTATATGCACGCAAACACATGTAAATACATAGGTACAAAGATACATGGGTACATAAATACATACATACATACATACCTGCATATCATATTGGCAAACGGCAGTCAATTGTTCCTTCCATGCGGGCTTCCTTACTTGCCTGCTTGCAAACATGCAAACATGCTCATACATGCAGACAGACAGCTGTCATAGATGAGATGGCTTCCAACCATAGCCTAGGGGTCCTGGCTGCGGCCTACTCGCTTCGTCACTGTCTTCTGCCAAAGTGCCGTGGAGGCCATGGCCGCCGCACCTGCAGCGACGGCCAGGATGGACTTCTGACCTTGGCGACTTCAGTGGTGTCGGTTCTTTGCATGCGCTTACTTGTTTAGAAGCGTAGGCTTCACGGCACGAAGGGAACTTGCTATCGGCCATTCACGAGGTCTCACGAATTCAGAAGACAACTTGCTCTGCACAAGTTGGAGCTACAAAAGCCCTAGTTTTCGAAGCCCCTACGCAAATCTCGGACCCCCGATGAGACGAGCAAAATAGGCCTGGGATGAAAAAATCTCATGACCGCCCAACCACTCCCGGATCACCCGAAGCCCAATCAACGGAGCAGTGATGGCAGCCGTTGTCTTCGAAGGAGTTTCACATGCCCCAGCTGACGGATCTTCGAACTTGCGGCTGGGGGCTGTAGCCCTCGGCCACATCTGTTCTGCTGCGCGTCGACAACTCGTTCACGCATGTTATCACTGAGGATCTGGCTGCTGGCCATCGTGTAGTGTACAGAAGCGAACAAAAATTAAAAGCGATGGCGAGACTACGCAGAAGTACCTTGAGAAAATCTTCGGATGCGGTTGTCTGGAGGCGCCACTCCGCATGCTTTGTGTACTCATTCTGAGTTCATGTAAACCTGGGCGCAAGACCACAGGCACGAAAGTACAGCTTTAAGCAGTGAGTCTCCAATCCTGATGCCATACCCTCTCAATCACTCACCGCACATGAGTTTCCGTGCTGACTGCAGCCCAGAGCAACCCTGCGCACACCCCTTTTGCAGAATTGCAGACGCACTCTCTCGGTATACCGACTGTTAACTCCGGTAGCTGCACGTGCTAGGTCGGCGTGTCTCGCTGTTAGGGTCCTGGGCTGGCCTTACCATACGTAAGCACGCAAAATGAGGACAGCATGAGACACCCCAGAACAGTCCACGGGTCTACACCAGCTTTCGACGGCGCCATGGCGCTTCAGATGATTTATTGCACTTCTTCGTGGCAAGCCTAATCCTAATGAAAGGCTCATCGTGTCCTGAAAGCGGCTTCCAAAAGGATTGCGCAGTGGGCGGGGCGTCGCCAGTCTTTTTCTATGAGCTGTCCACAAGTGCTGGAGACAGAAGGCATGAGAATCCTCACCTGAAACCCCTACCTCCAAAGCCAACCAAACCCATGAGCCACTCGCCGAGGAACACCAATGTTCGCCCTTCTCCATCACTTGCTGATAAAGGCCATGTCGACCTAGTTTAAAACATATCTCAAGGTTCGACGCGTGCTGCGCAACCTCAGCAAGTCTGGAGTCGTGGTCAGCTTGCAAAACGATTGGAGCCCCCGTGCCGTTCTGTACGCCTTCGTACTATGCGTGCTGCCCAGCTTCACGGGACTAAGTACGTGGACTAAGTGAGAAGGACGTCCTGCTGACGTCCTCTTGGCAGTTCATGTGTTAGCAAGACCAACCTCCAAGTAGACGCGCCCCCTCCCTGTCTTGGTTGTTGCCCATTGGCACCGTTGATACACATGAAGCCACATAGCCGTGGGTCGTGAAGTTGCAGCCATGTTCTCGGGAGTACCTGAGGCTCGGTTTCTCCCGTATCTGACGAGATCATCAGATCGATTGCAGAACCGATGACCTCGCTTAGTTAAGCCGGACGGGCTCTTACCCAACTGCACATGTCCGAAATCGCTGTCCATGTTTCCCCCTCCAAAGGGTCACAAGGAAATTCAACTCAACTTCCATACGTCACTTAGACAGGGAACTGGCTCCAGCAACCTCGCAAGTTACCTCCAACCAGCTTAGGCTCCTACCACGTGAACCAGGATGGTGGAGGTACCCTGCCTGGCTTGATTTTGATAGTTTTCAATCCTCAGAATCCTCAGCCTACGTTTACTTGTTCTGGTGGCTCCAAATTTCGGTAGCTGGCGCAAGCTTTTGGATGCTACTGCATTGATTGAAACATCGCATGCGTTTTTTAGCCCTAGGCGGAACTTGATTCATGGAGATATCAGGACCTCGAAGCAGTCCTAGCATGGGCGCGGGCGCCTTCAAATGGCAGGGTTGTCACCCTTCTCCGTCACACCTCGGCTTTGAAAGGACACTTCGGGGCGCTTCTGGCTCAGGGCGCATCAGACGGGTCCAACCGTGTTCCGCTTCGCGGGCGTCCACTGCAATGCCAACGGCAATTTCAAAGGTTACAACATCGACGGTTTGCGTAGAATGTCAACTTCTACAAAGCGTCAACACTGAGAAGTACTGAAGATCCCGAGCTCAGACGGGGTTTGTGCACCGCACATGTGCCGAAGGCTCACCCCGAATTCAGGGTTGACGAAGCTAGATTCGGTGTATGTCAAGGCAGTTTTCCGCACACGCGACTGAGAGGGATACATCAATCCAATGTCCACGGCGCAAAGAACGAGGGTCACCAAAAAAGGCTCGCTGACACCAGCGCAACACTTACACGGAATGTCAGAACCAACCACACATCCAAGGGCACAACGGTGCCTCCCAATGCGCAACCCATACACCCCAACCCTAAACCCAAATGCCCGAACCCCAAACCATAAGCGCTAAGCCTTAAGCGCAAAGCCCAAAGCCATAAGCCCTGAACCCTGAGCCCTAACCCCAACCAAGCCCAAGTACCCTCCCAAAACCACGAAACACCACTCCGTGAACGGTTGCTTCGACCGCCTTCGATGCTGGATATGATGGAGATGATGGAGAGGATGGAGATGAGAGAGATGATAAAGATGATAGAAACTATAGAGATCAGAGCCAAAGATGTTGCCTACCGCCAAAAGTTCGTCGAACAAATGATGCTATGAACTAGAGACCCGGTTGTCGTCAGGAAGGGTTCGCCGCAAGGATGTATGAGCAGGCATGCCTAGGAAAGACACATATGCTGAAAGTTGTGCGCTTATGTGTGTGGAAAAAAGGGGGTGGTCCGAGGGACGTTCGAGTAGACGGTGCGTCGGAGATGCCGTGGGGAAAACTGCTTAAAAGATGTGGAAAAACGGACGGCGCTGCTAAGAAGAAAGCACGTTACACACACGCCTGAAACAGCAAGAACACATCCGTTGCGAGTAGAGGACTGAGGAAACATAGGTCGAAAAACGGAACTGACTGCTTTGTAGAAGTAAAAGTATTCAACACAAAATCACAGAGTTCAGGCGTGTGTGCGCGTGCTAGGCGGTTCACTCGCTGTTGGCCATCATCTCCGCCCCTGGTGGGCCTGGGTGTCTGCTCCAGCTTGCGACATACGTCATCAGCAGTGTAGGGCCTCCCTTTAGACACCTACTCCCACTTGCACATCATGGCGCCGAGGGAGGTTCGCGGCAGGGGGGGGCCGGGTGTCGGACTCCAAGGCGTCCGCCTCCGCCTTTCTTGCCTTTGCCCTGTCCCTTGCTTTTGCCCTTTGCATTGCCGCCTCTGCCCTTGCCTGCTCCCTTGGGGATGCCACGGATAGACCTGTCGATGAAGATGCGCATATTACACCCTTCCACTTCTCGTAGAAGTGGTCCTGCCGCATTACTGAGGATGTGCGAAGCTGTCAGACCTGATAACTCAGGCTTGATTCTTAACAGGAAGTTTCCGGAGCCCTCGTCACCTTGTGGGTATAAGACTACAACTGTCTCGGGGAGCAGGCACTCTTCGATTTGCAAGGCAGGAGGGCGGGTGCCGACTACGATCGAGGTGAGGCTCTCCGCTCCCTCACGTCCTAGAGCCTGTTCCAGGGAGCCTTGCATTTCGGTTCTAACTCCAGCTGCCGCGGGCGACAACTGGGGAGCGCACCATTGTGCGGCAGGAAGCTGATCCTTGAGAGTGGTCAGGAGCAGAGGGATGGCTTGCTTCGGGAAGTCGGTCAGCTTACGCTGCTCTTTCAGAGCCAGATAGAGATCTTTCAGCATCATAAAGCCGATCAGCACTGCCCTGAATGGCTGGGTTAGGCGATCCATGTCGCGACGCAAGTTGTCTACTGCCGACTGGCTGACCGGCATCTCCGTGCACCGGGAGGGGGACTGTGCAGGGGTTGGTGTACGCTGAGTGCTTGCCTGCGAGCCAAAAAGATCGCGAGCGCGGATTGTTCTGGGTTTGGGGGCTGTTAGGGGTCCCTAATACTGATCACGAGTAGCCCAGCGATTCCGTGTCTCGGTCGGATAAGCGTGTCGAAAGAACCCGAGCCCGAGGAGTCGAGGGGATGTACTTAGTAGTATGCATGCGAAAATTGTGCGCGGTACGACTCGAGATATTTGGTGTCCGACGTTCTGTCGGCTCGATGCGCCTGAGGACGCGTGGGCCAAAGGACCCTGAGTACGACGACGGTGTTGCACCCGAAGGTGCGGGCCAGAGGACCAAAAAAAAAACAAAACGACGAACGACGATGGGGTGTTGCGCCTGAGGACGCTGCGGGCCAGAGGACCCGTCTTGCAGTGGTGTGTGAATATTAGGGTGAGCGTTCGGATATCTTCAAAAGAATAGCTTGTGTGCGGTATAGGGGCGGGACACAGAGCCCGACATCTTTACATGAAACTGATTGTCATGAAGTGCGCGAAGGATACACACGAAACCGCGCGGGGCGCCGCGTCTTTCCAAAAGGACCCGGAGAGCCTCTCTTTTGACACGAGGATAAGCTCTTTCAATGTCGTACAAAGTGAGCACCACAGATTCCCCGGCAGTAGCGAAACAAATTTCTTCTGCGATGCGTCGGCTGACTTGGAAGACGTCGTCCACCCCTCTATTGCGTCGGAAACCCTGCTGTTCCTCGTCCATAAACTGAGCGGAGAAGGTTTGTAGCCTACTGGCTACGATACGTGCTATGATTTTCACTCCCACACTGAGTAGAGTGACGCCGCGCCAGTTCCCTTTGTTGCTTTTCGGTTGTTTCTTTTTCCATAGAGGAATTTACGATTGCAGTGAGCCATTCGTGAGGCCACGTGTCCGCTTCAGAAAAATCTTCTGACTCCAGCGTGTGTTGCCATATATCTTGTATCAGGGTGATAAGTCGCGTGAGGAATGCTTTTGGTGCCCATTTCAGCATTTCCACCGTTACGCCGTCGTCTCCCGGGGCCTTGCCTGCTTTCACGTTGCGGATTGCCTTTGTAATTTCCACATCTGTTGGTGTGTCCACTAGGGGTGCTGGGTCCGTTGGTGGGGATTGCGGGATGTGGTGCCAAACGCGTTGCGCGACCGGTGAGGTGCCGTTCCGAGTCTTTTTGAAGTGTTGCCTCCAGGATTCTGTTTCAACTGCGGGGTTAGCCGAGATGTGTCTTTCGCCCATATGTTTCTTTGCGACGCCTCAGCCGAACCCCCCCCAGCTACAGAGGCCGTAAGAGTATCTTCCAGGACACGTGCTGGAGGCGTAGTGCCTGCTACAATCGAGGCAAGCGGAGCCGCTCCCTCTTGGAGGGAGGGCTGCAACTTGCCCGCCAAACTGATTGCGGCGGTGAGCGTCCCCAAGTACAGGGTTGCTCACGTGGAAGTGAATGGGGCCATCAGTGAGCATAATGAGGTTGGATGCTGAGCACGCTAACATTTAGATCTGGCCTTGCCCATTTCAGGCACCACTCATGCCCCATCATGGGCAGATATTTGAGCCGCAAACTCGAGACCCTATGAATCCCAGAACTTCGAACCTCTGCACTAACCCCCACCCTAAAACTATTCCTATCCCAATCCCAGCAGTACCACCCCATCAGTTAAGTAGTCCTGGACTTCTTCCCCCTTACGTACCACCGCCACTACGCCCATTGCGCTGCACATACAGGGATCAAAAAGGCAAGGGTGTGATGAATGCTGGTGGAGCTGGTCAGGCTGACAACAAAATCGGGCCGGGTCCAGAAAGTCGAATCGGGAAATGCCTGCAGCCTGCAACGCGAATCTGCGTGACATCAACAGTATCTGAACCAATGGACCCCTTCGCCGCTTCCCTGCCCTTCTGCCCAAGACAGCGGCGTTTGCGGTCTCACTCTGCCAAGCTGTTCTCCTTCGGGACCGCAGCAATCGAAACCCAAAATCCTGTGCCCTTGACCTGAAGCCTCCGCGACACAAGCTGCTGTCAGCCATGCAGCCCAGCTGCATCTTAAAAGTAAAGCCATGACACTGCAATGTTGCACATGAAGCCGTTCTCGACTGGGATGGAAGAGTGCACTGGAAATCCGCGAGACAAGTCCACATTCCCAAACAGTTGTGCCTCAGCGTACTTGAGGCCGCTGTCGATCTCCGTCTTTAGCTGCTTCTGGTCAGGCCGGGGCCAGGAGTTACGGTGGGAGTTGGGAGAATTTGCTACAAAGGCCATGACTGCCATCACCGTAGACGCCAACAAATCAATGTAGATGTGTGTGTGTGTACATACATTTGTGTTTATACACATGTACACACACACATACATACATGCATACATCCATCCATGCATGCATGCATGCATGCATGCAACAACGTACTTGTGTATGTGCACGCTTATATGTACGCATGCATGCACGTATGTATGTATATACGGATCTCAAACTGGACTGAGTTGAATATCCCAAAAGCGCAGCCTTCACCTCCTCTAATCGCGTCTTCTCATACTCGTTCAGCTCGCCCAGAGGAAACACCTTTCAACACCGAGGAGCCGCGGATGTCCAGGGTTTCGGGTCATGACTTCGGGACTTTGCTCTTAAGGGCTTCGCTTCTGGACGGCGTTTACGGGGCATTCTGACAGGCTAGCCGGGTTAGCCGTGTCCTCTCTGAGACCTTGACGAAAACAAAACGAAGGAATAGAAAGGCTCACATCAAACTTCCAGCCCCCCGCCGTGTTTCTTCCAGGCACATGCCAGGGGCTGATTAGTGGCCCAGCGGAAAGCTGAAGCCGCGAAGCCGCGAAAAGCCCTTGCGAAACAGCGGGCCTTGGTGACTCCCTTCTCGCCAAACCTTGAGGGCTCGGGCGGGTCTCGGGCTCGGGTGGCTTGGGGTTTCGGCTGCAACATTCCGAGGGCCAAGGTCTATCAGCTCCAGAATATGGGAGTTTCCGAAAATAAGGAGTACCACATAATAAGGATCCTACTGTTTAGGGTGCTATATTAGGGTCCCCTATTTTCGGAAACTCCCATATTATGAATGGGGCTTAGTAAGCAGTGGGGCCACAGTGCTCCACTCTGAACAACAGAGGTGTGCGCGCTCCCCCAAGTATGGTCCAGTTCTTGTTCGACTCAAAAAACAGACCAAAGGCCTGCATAGCGAAGACCTCTAGGTTCCCGAAGAGTCCGAAATGATTTTCGGAAGCCCTTGAACCTCGGCCCCCGACACTACGAATCCTACAGCCGAACGAAACGAAGCTGAAATGTATGGAGCAGATATTTACATCTTGCTTTTTCTATATCTGTTAATTTCTACTGTTCTGTTCTGCCACATTGGGAACTTGAGACTGTTTGATGCAACCGCTTGGACAAAAATCGGCTTTTTGAGGGCAGGGCTGGACCTTGGAGGCGAAGTACGGCAGATCCTGGGTGGTGCTCACTTACGGCTCTGCGGCGATCCAATTGTTCTGGATTTTTTAAGTCTGCAAATAAAGGAAACCCTGAGCACTCAACGCCGCTCAGCCCTACCACCCCGGTACGCACCACACTCAACGCTGCGCCGCTCGGCCCCTACGTGTAGATAGTCTCGAAGCCGTACTAGGTCAAAGGCTGTGATGTCGGACTTCACGTAGGCGCACTCCGTGCGCTTCTTCCCCATCCTCAGCGAGACATCCAGCTGGCTATCGGTGGTTCACCCATGTTCGTGAGATTTTTAACTGGTCTGAGCTTTGCTGCTGGAAATGCCTTTAACACAAATTTCGATTACTTCGACTACCTGCGACGACTGCGACGACGACGACGACTACTACTACTACTACTACTGCTGCTGCTACTACTACTACTACTAGTACTACTACTACTACTAGTACTACTACTACTACTACTACTACTACTACTACTACTACTACTACTACTAACTACTACTACTACTACTAGTTACTACTACTACTAGTACTACTAGTACTAGTACTAGTACTAGTACTAGTACTAGTACTACTACTACTACTACTACTACTACTACTACTACTACTACTACTAGTACTACTACTACTACTAGTACTACTAGTACTACTACTACTACTACTACTACTACTACTACTACTACCACTACTACCACTACTACTATGACGACGACTGCTACGACCACTCCGACCAATAATTGCGGACGACGAGGAGGCCGACAACGACTGCCGCGTCTACTTCATCACACTCTTGGAAGATATTTCCACCATGGCCCGCTTCTACTTCATCACACTAATGGAAGATATTGCCACCATAGCCCGTTTCTGCTGCATGAAGACTAATTCCAACCGCTGCTTTATCCTTCTTGAGAAGCCAGATTTATGAACCCTAGATGCGGCCAGATTGCAGGCCGGCCAGGATCGACTTGCCCAGGCGGGCGCCTGGGCTCCAAAGGTCCAAAAACATCCGCCAGTGGTGCTGAGGGCTTCTCGAGCCCCGGCTGCAGATCGTGGAAGTCTAGGCCCGCAAGCTGTGAAGCCCGCAACTTAAACCGTATTATCGGCGAATCCGAATTCCCTCCCTAAGGACGAAAGCTTCAAACTGAAGCTACACACCTCAGACTTGCGAATCCCTTCTGCCGTGGGTGTCTGCAGGGTTTCAGGTGCAGCCCAGCCTGCGTAGGCCATGGACAGCGTGGCACTGCCCTTGCCTGCCTTCGAGGGAGGTTTGTGGACTCTTCGGTGGGTCTGGGACTTGCTCTTCGACCGCCGTAAAGGTCTGGATTTTTGTCGGGACATGTCGGGACTGCACCAGAAGCGGATTCATGAGAAACCTGCGTGTTGGAACATGTGAGTCTCGGCCGTTGGAGGTCAAGTCAGGGGTTTCTCTAGGTCTGCATACATCTTAAGGGTGAAGTATTGATGTGTTAAATACTGGAAAATCGTGTACGTATATATGTGAATTTAAATGTGTATATATATATATATGTACATAAGTAGAAAAACAGACGCAAGCAGAAAGACAGAAAGACAGGTAGACATGTAAAGAGAGAGTGATGGATGGCTGGCTGGCTGGCTGGCTGGCTGGCAGGACTGTGTGTGTCATGTGTCTCGCGCACGTGCCCGCGAATGGGTGAGACTTCACATACTAGCATGTATGTAATAAGGGCTGCTCTAGATGTGAAAACGTGTGCATAACAGCAAGACTTTGTTTGAGTAGTTCAGGTTAGGTTTATGTTTAGGTTTAGGATGGTTTAGGTCTGGGTTGAGGTTTAGATTAGGCTAGGTTGGGTCAGGGTAGGTTTTGCTGGGTTAAATTAGGCTAGGTTGGGTTAAAGTGACAAGTGGATTGCAATCAACGACGAATCAACGAGGCGAAATCGGCTGAGGGGTTGCAGGATCACTATGCTAAGCTCTGACAGAGGCAGATGTAAGGAGCAGTAGAGGAAGAACAACAATGACAACAACAGCTTTCACACCAACGTCACAGATCCCTGATGCCAGCACGTCCTTGTTCCAGCTGATTTCGCATCGGTGGCGTAGTCTGCGATCTCCGGATATCCTTCGAAGTCCTATTCATTTCGCATTTCCTTCAGAAATGTTTTCTTTCGAAATAAGGAGGACCGACGGGAGGGTGGGACGGGACAATTCGAAATCAGATCTTATGCCAAAAGGGCAATGGAATGTAAACATGCTTATGGAGATCGACAACCGAAGATCCGCGTGGTCGATCGTGCGAGCATGAAAGCAGATGGAGTTGTCACTTTGCACATTTGCTACACCACAAGATCGAGAGTCTCGCTACCGGCAATAGTTGTGACACGAAAATCTCAGCGAGTACAACAACGGACATACCGATGCAGAGCACACCGGCGTGCGGCCTTGGCGTTCACGACATCGGTCCCCGCCTCTTCAGCGAATACTGGACGAGAATGCTGCAAGAAGCTATGGAAGATTTGCAATGTAAGCAAACATTATTTACCCTCCCTGGACATGAATGTTTGACTGCTTTGAGCATTGATGTCCAAAGGCGGAGGTAACATCGCTGCTGGGTGCAATGTTTTCTCGGCTTTGTTGAGACTGCAAATAAGTTCAAAAGTTGTTGTGGCACACGAGAAGCACCCGATTGTGTCGCAGGTTCCACGCTCGCTTGCTTCAGGAAACGAGGACAAGTGTCATTTCGGTGCACCCTGCTCTGTCTTAGGGAAGTGTATGCATCGTGTCTCCACCGTGTTCGGGCTGCCTTGTGTTACTAGTAGCACGGGGCCCCAGAGCACCGGAAACACTTCACCCAAGCTCCTTCCGCAGAAATCCAGGCTCGTGCCAGAAACGCCGAAGATCAGATGTTGCTGCGGAGGTCAAATTTCGCCCCAAGCGCTGGGCTCCCGACATCCTGCACATGCCTCAGCCGCTTCTGCATGGGTGCACAAGGACGCAGATCTGTTTTTGCTAGGCATTGAAAGATGATTCAATGAGCCCAATGAACCATGTGCCGTCAAGCTTCTGCAACAAATCTAACCCTCAATCAAGTCCTTCTTGATTTCACACAAGGCACTTGTCCAGGTCCGGAATCTTGCCGGCCTCGATGGTCTTAGCCACCTGGCACAATCAAAAAGTCCTTGCCACGATCTCAAACTGCCATGCCCTGTCATCTCTAGGGCATCTAGCTGTCTATGGGCCTCTGGGTAGCTTAGCTTTTGCAGGCCGTTGGGAGACATAAACTTGGTAGTGGGCTCTTCGGACGGAAAAGCTGCCCTTTGTGGCTGTCCCCAAACCTCGAAGCGCAAGTTGCATCTCACCAGGAAACAGAAGGCATAGCTGGGCGGAGAGGAACAAAAGCCAAGCTCTAAACCGTGGCTGCCTGCAACTGCAGTTTTTCTGGCTTCCAAAAGTGCGGTTTTGGACTCTTTGGGGTTCATGGTATCTAGATTGGACCTTGAACTTTGCTTAGAGGGAGTCTTGCCGGCGATCCCTCCTGAAGGCCGTTTTGATCAGCCGCGAATCCACTCTAGATCCGAAAATGGGTCTGCAAAGGAGCCTCTGCTCCTACCCGAACTCTACTTCCAGGATGTGCGTGTCTGTGTGTGTGTGTGTATGCAGGTATATATCTCTGCTTACAGTCTATATACACATACATATGTACATACAGATATAGATATGCATGTATGCATGCATGTATGCATGCATGTCATAACATGTCGTGCTTTTGTCCTAAAGAATGTCTTATCTGATATTATACTGTACGAGACTGCGTCGTATTGATTATATAATATTGTATCATGTTGCATCATGACAATTACTACTCTAGTATACCATGTTTTATTATACTATGTGTTATTAACTGAAATCGAAAATGTCAGACAGCTAATCAGATATAGTGTGTTATCTCTGACACAGTACGTAGGGTAGCATTCGTCTATGCTCTGTATTGTGTAGCAAATGTTATATCTTACATGTGTTGCTTCAGCTCATGTACCTTATGTAGTCTACAGTACATACTGCATACATGCTCATACATGCATGTACGCATGACTCATGTAATATGCACATGGATATATGTATGTATATGGGCGGTATATGTACACGTAGATGTATGCATAAAATCAACCGTATTCATTGACGACTTCTTGAGGCTTTCCACAAGCGCTGCTGGGTCTCTAGTTTCCGACGCAAATATTGAGGACAGCTCTTTGAGTCTACAACAGGTTGAGGAAACTTGAGGGCTTTGACTCTGTTTTGGGGCTTAAGCTGGTCAGCTTGAGACGCCGCACGCCGCTCCCTTTCATGGAGCTTGAAAAAGTTCAGGGCGACTCACTTCAGTCGGATCTCACGCCGTTCCTGCACAAGAGACGCATGGTACCGTATCAGGGTCAGAGATGTCAGGAACCCGTAGCGTTCAGGCCATGGAAGGTTTCGGGGCTACTACATATGGTGACCGGGCAGGGAGAAGGCGTTTAGCCTCTTGAAGTTCTTTCGGGCTCCGGCAGGATCTTCCAGGTGAGAACCTCTGGAACCGTTCCTCGATAATACGGCAATACGCTCATCAGCAATTGCAGGCCCCTGTCTGAAACACGAACCTGGCACCCTTGGGGCATCCCCAAAACAGTAGCTTTCAACCAAGCTCGATCAGCGCAAGTTACCGAGAACTCCCACAGCTCCCAAGGCACATGAGCCATTGGAAGACGCTCGCGGACAAGCGCGCGGCAAAGAAGATGCCTGGGCCATTAAAGTTACGGGGGGGGGTGGCTTGAGCCCCGAAACTCAGAGACCGAAGATACGGAACAGAGATCTCCGAATGCCTCCGACTCCTCGAAGCCAAGTCTGAGACGCACTCTGCTTTGCTGCCGGATAGCCCAGGAGGCTCTGAATCCAGGGGTCCCAAAGGTCCAAGAAGGCATCTGGCGTCGATTCGGGATGTAGGGAATAGGGAAAACTCTTTGGGCAAACACGGGCTGTTCCAGTCTGCGGCTTCTTTGAAAGTGGTCACAAGTTTCTGAGCAGACGCCAACCTAGGCAAATCGAAGGTCCTTCGCCACAAGCCCTTCAGCAACTATCACGAACACCGATACACCAATTCCAAGCGATGTCGCAGGCCTAGGAGGGGCGTGTAGTTGAGCAGCGATTTGACTGTAAACCCCGCGACGAGCCAACCTGACAGCCTTGGAAGTACGCGTGAGTCCAGGTGGTCTGCTTTTCGGCATAGAGCTTAGATTGCATATGCAGCGGCCGCAGAACCTGCAGTATTACAAGACGGTAGTTCGGGAGGTTAATCCCGCCGTTGCTGCTCCAAATTGGCTGACGGACGAGCTTGCCTTGTTCACTTCTTGCATTTTCGCTTTCCTCTTTGCATGCAAGTGTTCGTCTATACGTTCCGCAAAAGCTCTGTTTGGACATGTCTCTAGCATGCCTGTCGCGTGGTCCTAGCCCGGTGCTGCTGCACACTGCCGCATGCAATACGGAGATTGGCAACTGCGCGGGCACGGATGCCAGTGCCGAGTTGCTTCCGTTCCAGACTTGCCCAACTTTCCAAGCTTTCCAAAAGAGTGGCTTTGGCAGTGCTCTGTTGCTTCGAAGATCTGGCATTATGAAAGAACTCTTGATTCAGCCCAGGCACGCGATCAGGGTAAAGACGTCGACGACCAAGAGCCAACCGAAGGATTCCTTGATCCAAGCCCAGCCTGGCGCGGGGCGCGAGGCGCAGGGCTGCTTGCTTTTGAGGCGAAACTCCCAACTCCCAGGAGCCGGGCTGTCTTCCTCCGGCTCTTCTTCAGGCCCTCTCGCCTCATCCTCTCGGGTGAAAGCTGTCACATGGAGGCTTCTGCCATGACGCCCAGCAACAACTCCATGCTCTCATGCTGCGCGCTCTGACGACGAAAACACCGCTTATGGCAAGCGTGTCGTGCGGATTTCATGGTGCTGCTAAGGTGCCAACATTTGGGTTTGGGTTGCGCCAACAAAACAATCGACTACATGCCTGTGCCCATCAGTCCTATCGCACGACACGTAAAAGCCGTGGCTCAACTACTCAGGCAAGGGCAAACCGTGAAACGACGAAAGCAAACAACGCGCAAACCGATACTCTGGTTCATTGCAAATTCTCTGTCCTCCGCTTCGGCCGCGGCGGCAATCTCATCAAGGATACCATCGAACTTCTCCTCACCCTGCCGGCCGACAGCACTCAACGTCTTTGACGACCCTGTGCAAGCCGCACGCGAAACAGTGTAATTTAGCCTTACTGGGTCGGTGTTTATGCCAAACTACGAAAAACACACGGCCGACGTCTGGCCAGGGCAAGCATTCGAAAACCAGCCCATGAGGGAAGGGCAGCGTCAATGTCCAAATACGCAATGCCAGTATGCCAGGACAGCTTTGGCCGTACTATGTTCAAGTTGCGTTTTGATATGATGACGGACTGCTTAACAACGCTGACAGGTAAGTTTTCAAGTTGTTACTTTCCATGTTCCTCCGCCCACATGTGAGTTGCAAATTCCTGTCTACCACGAAGGACCTCGCGCCTTTGCCTTTGCAGGGATCCCTATAGACACGTTGACGGCAGACGGTTAAGTTTAGAATTTTCACAATCAATCTTTCTCCGCCCACACTTGGCCGTTTGCTCTGGAGGCAAAGCCATTTGACTGACACCTGGATGGATGAGTTGTAAGTTCTCATTTTGAATTGAACAAGAATATAGCCTATAGCCCAAACAACCCCGACGACCCGGAAAATTCAACGCACAGCCCCAGACAGCCTGGACTGACGGTCGCAGCATGGCATGTCAACGTCTCGCGAAGTTCTTGGCATGTTGACGTGCACCGTGTCCCACCCCATGATATTCCACTCCACGACCACTCAGGCACCATGCACCCAGATGCACCCCAAAAATCCGAGTGCAGTGTGGCGAAAGTGGTCAATGTGAGAAGCACTGTGGCGGGAGCAAAAAGAGGGCACACAAATGTCATCGCCCGCGAAAAACCTGAGAAAACTGCGACATCATCCCCCCTTGAACTCCGGCCCGGTCCGCCCCCAGCCCCCGCATGCCCCCGCGCGGCCCCCCAAGTTCTTCATCCTGAGGCCCCAGATCCGACAACCTCTCACGTCACTGCACTTTGGACTCCTCTGAGAGCGAGGATGGTGTGTTCCGTGTTCCTCTGTTCGGAGGCTTAAGACTTTAAGACTTTATAGGAGCTTCTCTGACCTCAGATCCGCAGCGGAAGGTTCTGCCTCCATGCGCGCCCCACGCTCCGGCCTGGATGCCGCTCACAACGCTGCGCTCGGCATGGCGAAGGGTGCGCGGGCTCTGTGGAGACCCGCTCCTCGGAACAGTCGAAGCGTATAGGGAACAGACGCGTGGTTGCGGGGATCTGCGGTGGTGGGACTCCTCTTAGGTCTCGCGCCTTAAGCGCTCTGGTGGCCCTCGGGACCTCGGGCCTCGGGTTTCAAGAACTCGGATCTGCCAGCAGTGTAATCAAGACTATGAACCTATTTCTGTCCCTGCCTTTCAGGTTTCGACTTCCAGAGCTCCTCAAGCCCCTGTGATAGACATCTCCGTTGTTTTATGAAGGCCGGAACGTGCAACTTGGAAGCCAAGGCCGACTCCAGGGCATGGTCCAATTGTCTATATATGTCTCAGGGCAAGTTCGAGGTAGTACGGGTACCATGTGATGCCGACTTCGTGGCACCTTTGCAATGCCCGATGTGACGCCGGTGTGGGACACCAGAGCCCAGACAACTTCCCCCTTCACCCCCCCCTTCCCCGAACCTCTGGAGGCTACTTGGAGGATCACGGGACATAGTAAAAAAAGGTTAAAAGTACCTTAATTGGGGTTATAAGTATAGCTATAGTTACCCTAAATATAACTATAGAACCCTATAGTTACGAAGTCCCATGATCCTTTAAGTAGGCGGGGCTAGGTCCGGCTAGGTGCAGCCCGGGATGCGAGGGCCCAGGCGTGAAGGTCAGAGCAAGGCCGGCGAGCCAGACCTGAGAAGGGGCTTAGCGTGGAGACCGTTAAAACCCCGGAAGTCTGGTCACCTGGCCATAAAGCCTTTAGCGGCTGTAGCGGCTCATCCGATTGCAGGAGACGCAACAGAACAAAAGTGAGCAGGCAGACCTTTGCATTTCAGCTCGAGGCTCTCCAAACCCCGGAGGAAGCCCTGAGAAGTCGGAGTCTCTGGGAGTCTCCGGGAGTCTCGGAGGGGACGGCGGGCTTTCGGCTTTACGAAGCCCAGCGGCTGCAGCCGCCAGCCGGGCCAGCCGTGAGCCCCTGGCCATTCCGCCCGCGGGCGCGGCTGCCGGACTACGGCAACGACGGACCCACTTATGGCGGCTTTGAGAATGCTGCATCCTAGTCCCTGGGGACGAAAGCATGAGTCCTAGAAGCTGTAGGGGGTGTTCATCCGGCATTCGGGGCATGGACTCCCTGGTGATGCTGGTGGACATCGGGAAGGTACTTAATCTCCCGCGATGTGGTTGCATTGATGGGCAGGGGCTTCTCATAGCTCCGCAATCATTCGATCTTGACCATTGAACTTGGAGCTGCGGCACACGAAGTCGCTTCACAACCACGTGCGTGCCCTGCACGGAGCAACACATAGACAGAGAGACATGAATGTGGCCTGGCTCGTTTGTTCTGAGACGAAGGACATTGTTGTACAAGCTAACTTAACCTGCTAGCAAACCGCAGCAATCAGCAGAAATCCAGCCTCAACGGTTCGGGATATCTCTTTGGGGCTCCCTGCGCAGAGGCTCTAAAGCATAGGCTCTTAAACCAGCTGATCCCCACCTTGTCCTGCGAGAAGAGAGGGAGGATCGTGACGCCAGCATGGCCGCCGACCACGGGCACCTCGCAGAGTCGCAGAACCGAGGCGCCGAGCCGAGCTCTTCTCTTCTTCTTGAAGTTGGGATCAAAAAGAGAGGGCCGGGGGGGCCGTTTGGAGGAGGAGGAGCTGGGCTGTGCTCTACGACATCGCCTGATCGAAGCAAACCTACAACTATCCTTTTGGGCAGAACTCTAACGGACCTTCACCTTGTCGCCATTGGCATTCTGATGCTGCGATGCGCCACTTATACGGACCACCACTATCTGCTGGGTCTCCCCGCGCTGATGTAGTTGGGATTCTTCCCCGTGATCTCGCCAACGAACCTTGGAAGGCTTCATCCAGGGCCCGGAGTGTCACCCCCCGTACTTCCGGATGTTGGGCCTGGGTTAGCTGGGGAGCAACTGTGCCCCTCATGCCGGACCAAAATGCAATAAACGAAGGTCCAATCCAACTACCTTTTGAGCTTAGTGGGTCGTAGCATCGTAGCATTTTGTAGCATCCCTGGCTCAAACCACGGAGACAGCACCCAGCCACAAAGCTCCGAAGAAGTCTTGTTCAGGAAATCAGCATGCTGCAGACTTCAAGCCCCCTCAAGCCAAGACTGCCGAAACGGCGCCACGACCGCTACGAACCGTCGGTGAGAAGCGGACTTGTTGGCCCTCACCACGTCCAGGGTCGTGATGCCCACGATCTTCAGCGGATCCAAGCCTGGTCCGGTCGACGAACAAAGCACGAAACAAAGAACATAGCAGGCTCAGTGCGTCCCATGGAACAGGCTTACAAGCTCTTACAAGCTTCGGTTCCATGTTTCTCCCTTTTCTGACAGTGATCTGATTTCGGAACAACCAATTCAACCAACCTCCAGCCAAAGGCGAGAGAGTGTCTAGAATCTAGAACTTGCAGACACGTACGGACCGCGGCTTTGAGGCACTCCGGGCCAGCAATTGATGATTTCATCCTGGACTCGCGATCGACTCCGACCCACCACTTCCATGCAGTCAATAAGGACAGCTGCGAATGCATTTCAGCATGTCACAAGAAATTCGGTGTTTGCGGATATCGTTTGTTGTAAAGCTCAAGGTTTCTACCGTTACCTCCTGCCGCATTTTGTCACACAGGCGAAAAACCTCCACACCTATCAGTCCTAACGCTGAACCTAATCCGAAGATCCGATCCACGCACCTTGCCTTAAAACTTGAACACCAACAGACCTGCCTTTCTTCTTGTACAGCTCGGCCATAGCAGGCCTGGCGGACTGAAAAATGACCCCTCTTGCGGCACGCTTCCTATCCAACACAAAACTCCTAGTTTTTGAGGCTGTTACGTCAGGTGTCCTTGTTTAAACGACCACGACATGTGCGCCTGAGGACGCAATCGGGCCTGAGGACCCTTGTTTATACGACCACGACATGTGCGCCTGAGCACGCAATCGGGCCTGAGGACCCTTGTTTATACGACCACGACATGTGCGCCTGAGGACGCAATCGGGCCTGAGGACCTTGTTTATACGACCACGACATGTGCGCCTGAGGACGCAATCGGGCCTGAGGACCCTTGTTTATACGACCACGACATGTGCGCCTGAGGACGCAATCGGGCCTGAGGACCCTTGTTTATACGACCACGACATGTGCGCCTGAGGACGCAATCGCGCCTGAGACCCTTGTTTATACGCCACGACATGTGCGCCTGAGGACGCAATCGGGCCTGAGGACCCTTGTTCATTATACGACCACGACATGTGCGCCTGAGGACGCAATCGTGAGGACCCGACCACGACATGAGGACGCAATCGGGCCCCTTGAGGACCACTTGTGTTATACGACCACGACATGTGCGCCTGAGGACGCAATCGGGCCCTTGTTTAGATGATTTTGTTTATACGACCACGACATGTGCGCCTGAGGACGCAATCGGGCCTGAGGACCCTTGTTTATACGACCACGACATGTGCGCCTGAGGACGCAATCGGGCCTGAGGACCCTTGTTTATACGACCACGACATGTGCGCCTGAGCACGCAATCGGGCCTGAGGACTCTTGTCTATACGACCACGACATGTGCGCCTGAGGACGCAATCGGGCCTGAGGACCCTTGTTTATACGACCACGACATGTGCGCCTGAGGACGCAATCGGGCCTGAGGACCCTTGTTTATACGACCACGACATGTGCGCCTGAGCACGCAATCGGGCCTGAGGACTCTTGTCTATACGACCACGACATGTGCGCCTGAAGACGCAATCGGGCCTGAGGACCCTTGTTGATACGACCACGACATGTGCGCCTGAGGACGCAATCGGGCCTGAGGACCCTTGTCTATACGACCACGACATGTGCGCCTGAGGACGCAATCGGGCCTGAGGACCCTTGTTTACACGACCACGACATGTGCGCCTGAGGACGCAATCGGGCCTGAGGACCCTTTTGTTCATACGACATCATACGACCACGACATGTGCGCCTGAGGACGCAATCGCGCCTGAAGACCCTTGTTTTTTACGACCACGACATGTGCGCTTGAGGACGCAATCGGGCCTGAGGACCCTTGTTTATACGACCACGACATCTGCGCCTGAGGACGCACTCGGGCCTGAGGACCCTTGTTTTTACGACCACGACATGTGCGCCTGAGCACGCAATCGGGCCTGAGGACTCTTGTCTACACGACCACGACATGTGCGCCTGAGGACGCAATCGGGCCTGAGGACCCTTGTTTATACGACGGCCACGACATGTGCACCTGAGGACGCAATCGGGCCTGAGGACCCTTGTTTATACGACCACGACATGTGCGCCTGAGGACGCAATCGGGCCTGAGGACCCTTGTTTTTTACGACCACGACATGTGCGCCTGAGGACGCAATCGGGCCTGAGGACCCTTGTTTATACGACCACGACATGTGCGCCTGAGCATGCAATCGGGCCTGAGGACTCTTGTCTATACGACCACGACACGTGCGCCTGAGGACGCAATCGGGCCTGAGGACCCTTGTTTATACGACCACGACATGTGCGCCTCAGGACGCAAGCGGGCCTGAGGACCCTTGTTTATACGACCAAGACATGTGCGCCTGAGCTCGCAATCGGGCCTGAGGACCCTTGTTTATACGACCACGACATGTGCGCCTGAGCACGCAATCGGGCCTGAGGACCCTTGTTTATACGACCACGACATGTGCGCCTGAGGACGCAATCGGGCCTGAGGACTCTTGTCTATACGACCCCACGACATGTGCGCTTGAGGACGCAATCGGGCCTGAGGACCCTTGTTTATACGACCACGACATGTGCGCCTGAGGACGCAATCGGGCCTGAGGACTCTCTTGTCTATACGACCACGACATGTGCGCCTGAGGACGCAATCGGGCCTGAGTACCCTTGATTAACGCCCACGACATGTACGCCTGAGGACGCAATCGGGCCTGAGGACCCTTGTTTATACGACCACGACATGTGCGCCTGAGAACGCAATCGGGCCTGAGGACTCTTGTTTATACGACCACGACATGTGCGCCTGAGGACGCAATCGGGCCTGAGGACCCTTGTTTATACGACCACGACATGTGCGCCTCGGGCCTGAGGACTCTTGTTTATACGACCACGACATGCGCCTGAGGACGCAATCGGGCCTGAGGACCCTTGTTTATACGACCACGAAATGTGCGCCTGAGGACGCAATCGGGCCTGAGGACCCTTGTTTATACGACCACGACATGCACGCCTGAGGACGCAATCGGGCCTGAGGACCCTTGTTTATACGACCACGACATGTGCGCCTGAGCACGCAATCGGGCCTGAGGACCCTTGTTTATACGACCACGACATGTGCGCCTGAGGACGCAATCGGGCCTGAGGACGTTGTTTATACGACCACGACATGTGCGCCTGAGCAATCGGGCCTGAGGACCCTTGTTTATACGACCACGACATGTGCGCCTGAGGACGCAATCGGACCTGAGGACCCTTGTTTATACGACCACGACATGTGCGCCTGAGCACGCAATCGGGCCTGAGGACCCTTGTTTATACGACCACGACATGGGACCCTTGTGATACGACACACATGTGCGACCTGGACCAATCGGGCTGAGGACCCTCTGTTTATGCGACCACGACCGTGCGCCTGAGGACGCAACGGCCTAGGACCCTTGTTTACCGACCACGACATGTGCGCCTGAGTACGCCATCGGGCTGAGACTTGTTTAACGACCGTGACATGTGCGCCGATGAGCATACGTGCGCCCTGAGGACCCTTGTTTATACGACCACGACATGTGCGCCTGAGCTATCGACCCCACGCCTGAGGACCCTGAGGACCCTTGTTTATACGACCACGACATGTGCGCCTGAGGACGCAATCGGGCCTGAGGACCTTTGTTTATACGACCACGACATGTGCGCCTGAGGACGCAATCGGCCTGAGGACCCTTGTTTATACGACCACGACATGTGCGCCTGAGGACGCAATCGGGCCTGAGGACCCTTGTTTATACGACCACGACATGTGCGCCTGAGGACCCATCGGGCCTGAGGACCCACGACCACGACATGTGCGCCTGAGGACGCAATCGGGCCTGAGGACCCTTGTTATACGACACGAATGTGCGCCTGAGACGCAATCGGGCCTGAGGACCCTTGTTTATACGACCACGACATGTGCGCCTGAGGACGCAATCGGGCCTGAGGACCCTTGTTTATACGACCACGACATGTGCGCCCGAGGACGCAATCGGGCCTGAGGACCCTTGCTTATACGACCACGACATGTGCGCCTGAGGACAATTGTTTATACGACGATGACATGTGCGCCTGAGGGCGCGATCGGGCCTGAAGACCCTTTTTGTTTATGCGACGACTGCGCGCCCGAGGACGCAATCGGGCCTGAGGACCGTTGTTACGTTGTTGACAAGTTATACGACAATCGACATGTGCGCCTGAGGACGCAATCGGGCCTGAGGACCACTGCTTTTACGACGACGACATCGCGCCTGAGGACGCAATCGGGCCTGAGGACCCTTGTTTATACGACCACGACATGTGCGCCTGAGGACGCAATCGGGCCTGAGGACCCTTGTTTATACGACCACGACATGTGCGCCTGAGGACGCAATCGGGCCTGAGGACCCTTGCTTATACGACCACGACATGTACGCCTGAGGACGCAACCGGGCCTGAGATGGCCTGAGGATACTTGTTTATATACGACGATGAAATGTGCTCCTGAGGACGCGATCGGGCCTGAAGACCCTTGTTTATGCGACGACTGTGCGCCCGAGGACGCAATCGGGCCTGAGGACGTTGTTGACAAGTTATACGACAATCGACATGCGCGCCTGAGGACGCAATCGGGCCTGAGGACCACTGTTTATACGACGACGACATGTGCGCCTGAGCACGCAATCGGGCCTGAGGACCACTGTTTATACGACCACGACATGCACGCCTGAGGACGCAATCGGGCCTGAGGACCCTTGTTTATACGACCACGACATGTGCGCCTGAGGACGCAATCGGGCCTGAGGACCCTTTTTAGCATACGACCACGCCATGTCCCTGAGGACGCAATCGGGCCTGAGGACCTTTGTTTATACGACCACGACATGTGCGCCTGAGGACGCAATCGGGCCTGAGGACCACTGTTTATACGACCACGACATGTGTGCCTGAGGACGCAATCGGGCCTGAGGACCCTTGTTTATACGACCACGACATGTGCGCCTGAGCACGCAATCGGGCCTGAGGACCCTTGTTTATACGACCACGACATGTGCGCCTGAGGACGCAATCGGGCCTGAGGACTCTTGTCTATACGACCACGACATGTGCGCCTGAGGACGCAATCGGGCCTGAGGGACCCTTGATTAACGCCCACGACATGTGTGCCTGAGGACGCAATCGGGCCTTGAGGACCCTTGTTTATACGAACCACGACATGTGCGCCTGAGACTACGCAAGACGCGGAATCGGCCTGAGGACTCTTGTTTATACGACCACGACATTGCGCCTGAGGACGCAATCGGGCCTGAGGACCCTTGTTTATACGACCACGACATGTGCGCCTGACGACGCAATCGGGCCTGAGGACCCTTGTTTATGCGACCACGAAATGTGCGCCTGAGGACGCAATTGGGCCTGAGGACCCTTGCTTATACGACCACGACATGTGCGCCTGAGGACGCAATCGGGCCTGAGGACCCTTGTTTATACGACCACGACACGTGCGCCTGAGGACGCAATCGGGCCTG